GGGAGGGAAATCCATATTTCCACATCCAAATGCCTAGCATTGCCACTTAAAAAATAGTGTTACATTTTATGAAGAAAATTAGATTGTATACAACTTATTTAGCATTGTTAGGCAGTCATTTGTGCATAAAATGAACTGTGATGTTCCAGCACCTAATGGGGTTTTAGTTTTAGTTTAGCAGCAGTGCAAGCAATATTCATACAAAGAGCAATTAATTTACTTCAGCTGAGAAACATTATTTCACCACTGAAATGCTGACAATAAGAAACATTACTGACAGCTGTGAGGTGGGGTTTTGGGTCACAAGTTGGATATCATTAGCTGCATTAATTCAATGAGATTAAGCAGCTATAATATTCTCAGATTTTCCCTTTTTTACATTTGGAATATTAATATATTATATTACATATTGCCACACTGATTGAAGAGAACATTTGATTTCAATTCAATTGCACTGAAAATCTATTTTTTAAAAAAACATGACTTGTTATAAAATATTGAAGCACTTTAGATGTTATTTTATTTGCAGTGTGTCTGTGGGAATGTTTTTTGTGAACAAAACTACAAAAGAGTGATTCTGTAACAGAACAGCATATGTACACATTTTTCAGAGCTGGGAAATTTCCCAGTTGATACTATTATTAAAATAAAGCTTTATTTGCAAGTTGTTTGAGGACAATTGAAAGTAAGGAAATGTTATTGTATTGAGGAAAACACTTTTGCAAAGAAAAAATCTGGAAAAGATCATTAATTCTTGCTGCAGGGTTATACAGCATATAATTCATAAGTGAGGACCAAGAGGTACAGTATAACTTATTTGTGAAAACTTTGTGTGTAGACCATAATTTGGCACAGCTCTTGATGTTCCCATGCTTATAACAATTACCATTGCCTTGCTTAGCAAATGGAAATTTTGGACTCAATTGTGGTGTAAGTCAAGGATTACCTATATTAACTTGGGACCTCCTCTTGTAGAGCAGAAAAAACTGAATTTGGTACCTTAGCCAGTCTTCCCTGCTTACCTTTATACATTACCTTCAACATTAGTCAGCCATTGGCTTTCTTGTCCAGATGTTGTATTTTACAATTTCCAAGTGATTCCAAGGTTAATCACTTATAACCATTTACTCTTAGTGTTCTACATGGTTTTATTTGTTTTCTGCATTTTAGGAAATTGCTTGACTGAAGCAGTGGTGGGATACGAGCGATACACCCTGGTACGGGCGTACCGTTGCCTGTTGGGAGCACCAGGTACTGTTCCTGTATGGTGCTCCAGAGGGCCCACCCGCCCACCGTCCATACCTGTATTTGAGCTGACTGGGGCTTCCACGCACACGCACGGAGTGTACGGCACCTGTGTGATGCTCCACCAAGCAGCTAGAGCGCATGGGCGGTAAGTACGCATGCTCGTACTATGCACCTGCATGTGGTGGACGCCCGGCCCTGTTGCACCATACCAGTTGCAACGGGATCCAGAACCCACCACTGGACTGGAGGCAAAAGATATAGAACAAATTATTGGCCAGAGCATTTACCAAATTGAGCTCACATTTGGCTTGACTAGAGGTGCAGAACTTTCAAAACAACAAATATTCAATCACAGTATCTCTCAAGGAGGCATATTTGCAGTTGCCATTATCTCAGTCATTGAACCACTTGTGAAAAACATTTGTGGCTATTGTCTGCTTTTTTCCTGCTTAAGCTTATCATTTATAATTTTCAGTCTTATTGTTGTAGGAAATGACAGGACACACAAGCCAGCTCTTCAGAGAAGGAAAAGTTTATTTGCACAGGTTCATAGCAAAGAATAAATGGCCTGAACACTGAGTTCAAAATAAATGGCCTGAACATTGAGTGAAATTCAGGAACTTCCTTTTATAGTTTATCACTTTCGGCTAAAGCCATCTGTT